TGTGGGGGGGGGGGGGGGGGGGGGGGGGGGGGGGGGGTAACGGCGGCATGCTAGATCATCAAAATGGATAATGGAGCACCCGAGCGTGAGAACCACTGAAGTAGACAATTATTGGAAAAGTAGCATGAACAAGAAACGTATAAATATGATGGAACATTTTTTTACAGCAAAATACAATAACTTCTCCAAATGAAGTTCACATAATTGAAGAACCTCAACATATTGTTATGATCGAGGAAATTGGCTGTATGAGAAAAAGAAAAGAGAGTAATGGAGTGGGGAAGCATAATCGATATGTTACGATGAACATCCCGTACTGCTTTCGGTCATCACCAAAATAATGATCCCAACCTCAATAAGCTTTCAGCCGTTTTTGATGCTTAAATTTATTAAATCGGTCAAAAATACACTCATTAGCCAGCTTTCCAACAGCCCAAAATCACTGCTCGCTTTCAGAATCTGAAATTGAAAAGCGTTACCAAAATTTATCTTTACTATGAGAAAATATCAATTATCATATTGCAGCCAGTTGTAAGCTCAGGTCTGAAGAGCAACCTGAGCGTTTGAGGAGTAAGCAACATTTTTTGGGCAAGTTTTCGATACATTCCATCTCTGGGTTGACCAATAACAAATTACCACAAGAATATAAGAAGCAATATATTCAGTCCATTTGTTAGCTCAATTGCAACCTATTTGGTTCAGATATTTTTGATATTCTAATAGGGTTTAACCTCAGTGTGTATGGAACCTTACAGATAATTTTCAGGTTGAAAAAAGCTTCCTTGACCATTGGGCATTTTGGTCACATTTGGCAGTATATGTTGGCAATCGTTTGGGCCGCATGTATATTCACGTGTTACATGGATGCTATCGATGATATTTTGAGAAAAAATGGAATGAAATTAATCAGTTGATACCTCTTGTAGTAGTGGTTGCCGATACCAGTCGAGTTGGAGTATGTTCTGTGGTATCGCGATTTTTCATACGAAGTTGTATTTCTGAAAACGTGAATGAAACTATGTCTTAATAGGGAAATCTAAGAACTTCAGCAATCAAGACTCCTCCAGAACCATTTTATTCTATGTTTGATGCTAGAAACTTTTTTCTCAAAGTCAAGATGTTTAAGATTGTCTCCTTGAGAAATTACCGTTCAAATTGTTGTTTACTCTATCGGCCAATTTCAAGAAGAAATCTTTCACGTCATTCACAATTTTTTCTTTATCCATTTCTTCGTATTTTGCTTTGAGCATCTGAAAATAGGAAGTGTGCAAAGCAATTAATTTCAAATACCCGTATACAGTGAGGCAATCAATGTGGAACTGAAGTTCACTGAATGTTCGCCACTGATTCAATACAAGAATAATTTCCTAAGTTGGAGGAATAACCTTGAGATCGTGTCTAGGATCGGTTTATTTGTTGCATAACCTGAGTGTGCATGCATCAGCTATAGATGATAAAGGTCGGTCAGCAAGAAAACAATGTATATTTATTACTGCCAAACATACCTGCCAAATACGTATCAAATAGTTATGTAGCGCCCGATAGTGTTTTTTCACCTGACATTCGAAATCACACGTCTGCAACTTAAACATTTAGGTGTTTATTTAATCAGAAACTAATCAGCAACTTAAACGTTCATTTGTATATTCATTCATCATTTATTCAACATTACGAACTAACCGCTGTCGGTTCCTCGATATCCGGTAATCGTTGACCATGAATAATGATTGCAGAATCTCCTCCTTCGCAATCACTGTATACCTGCCAAAAAAATCCTCACTTGATAATGTGATAATATTGGAAACGGCAATGAGAATCAATGAAAACTGCTAAATTTTACGCGAAAGTGAAACCGTTACGTATCAACCGCTCACCTTTATGGTTTCATATTCACTCAATGTGTCACAATCGAAATCTTTATTTCCTTCCGCATCAATTGCCTTCAATAACAGTGCATTATTTATCATCAAACAGATGTTTTTTTTTCTCAAATAAACCACTTATGAAGTTTCACATTGACTTTTGTAGGCTTACTGACTGAAATTAGTCTTTGAGTACTCGTGGTCTTTAATTTCTACGAGTTAATGGTTTATTGTGATAATACAATCAGGTGATCTGTAAGATGATGTTAGACCCAGAACAAGGATACAAGTAGCTGATATCGAGCGAATATGAATGTACGAAAGAGCGATTCGCTGTGTTATGACCTGGTGAACGCGACTGTGCATTCAAAGTTCAAGATAGATTAATGTTTCCACGGTCCTTTTCGAAATGCAACACTGATTGGGAGGACCTTTCGAGTACCATATCCTTAGGAAGATAACTTTGAAGTGGGTAAGTTTATAATTTACCCGCAATTCCGGGAATTTCTCCTTTATTTTCGATTCGCTGGGCAATCGCTTGATTGCGTTATTTGTTAGACCAATAACAGTGAATCCACGGAGACGATTGCTTGGCAAGAACAACTGCAAATTGATTTAAAAACTTGATTAACTGATATTTTCTGCCAATAGTTATGCCATTATTGCTATCATAAACCCTGTATTTTATTATTATTATTATTATTATTATTATTATTATTATTATTATTATTATTATTACTATTATTATTATTATTACTACTGTTACTATTATTATTGTTATTATTATTGTTACTGTTACTGTTATTATTATTGTTATTATTGTTACTGTTATTATTATTGTTATTATTATTATTACTATTATTGTTACTTTCTGATATGCCTATTATTCTGATCTATCGACATCATTGCTGTTGTTATCGTATTATTATGACCAGAAGTGTTGTTGTTACATATTTGAGTGATCATCTAAAAATCGAGAAGATCAATTGTAATGAATCGTTAAACAGCTGATCATTAGATCCGATGACGAATTCAACACTAATTGAACCATGTTTTATACTGATTGTTTCAATGAACACTTTGAATCATTAAATGGGCATTGCATGCTACACTGATATCACCAACAGTACTATTCTTTTTTTAACAATAATAACACTAGTAAAAATACTAATATTAATAATAACAATAATAATAATGATATTAATAATAACAATAATAATAACGAATGCAATAATATTAACCGCCGACCGTATTGCGTTGTCCATTGTGGCAATGAATAGCCTCATCATCAGTATCACACTGGCATTTGTCGAGACACTCGTAGACATATCCTTAAGTTGACATTGCGGAAATTCTTGATTGATAAGAAATCAGATGAAGCGTGGTATATGTTCATAACCAAAAACTGACAAGAGCTCACTCGAATGAGTTGTTTTTGAATTTTTTCTTCTCTCTAGTCTCTGAGCTGCCCTCGTCTTTGATCACTACTTGCAGGGTCAACTACCAGAAGAGTTTCATTTATCGACATTGAGATAATCATCAGTTTTAATTTAATTGCCTAATTGAATGTTCTTCAATCAAAAGAGTAATAACGAGATATTTGGTTGGTCTAGTTACTGTGAATCTTGCAAGCCGTAATTCTTTGATTATGACCTTAGGGAAACGTAATTTTCCCATATATTTGAAGAGAGGTTCTATAAAATTGATAGATTTGTATGAAAAGGCTGTTGTAAAAGATAAGTAAAGGATAATAAACGGCGGCTAACCTTGAACATTTAGTGAAATTATGAAAATTGTCACGAAAGTATGAAGTATAAGCGTCATCCTGAAATCAACTACTCAACATGAATTGTATGGAACAGCTATCAACATTGGTCTACTAAGTGAGTGATCGCAAAAGTTCACGAAAATAACTATCCGGCACAGGCCTGAAGATCGATTTTAGACTTTGAAAAGTTAAGATTCTTTAGTCTGAGAAGATATAAGAACAGAGATGAACAGATAGCAAATGATTTGATGGTAGAAGCCTTTTCAAAATCCGACTGACTCGAGAAATAGATACGCCAAGTCAGGGAATGCAGATGAGACTTAGAGCAATAACAGCCGCTGAAAGATGGGTCACAGGTGTAGTTAGTCATAATAAAATAATAGGGATGCAGATATAAGGAAGATTTATTTGAGTTCAGAAGATTGAGCAACTGTTTCGAGAAAAATACTTTTTGAGAAAATCAATGAGTGCACAAGATGAATGAACCTTCAGATAAATGTCTGCTGACCTGCGAATAATCTCAGTAGAACGCCTATTCAGTGTATACACTTCTCTCGAAAAATAACTTGAAAAAACGGGAATAATATATGGAAGTTAGATTTTCGCATTCATTCTTCGATGTACAAGCGTCACCCTGACAGACTCTGTGAAACGTGTTTTTGGAGAGCATAATAAGCAAGAATATCAACAGTAAAGATAGTGATAAGGACTGTGCTGACGAAGTCGATTGCAAAGCGTACGACTGATAACTGAGTGAAACGCTGAAGTGTCAATTCCGAGATTAAACTGGACTGGTAGGCACACCTAGGTTAAAGCAGTTTAAACCCGAAGTTATGTTGGCTCAATAGCCGTTCATGATAATGAAAATGATGATACTAATCAGGTTTAAAATCAAATCAGCTGCTGCTCAATTGATTTTTGGTCGAGAGCATTCATCTAATTGAATTCATCATAAACAGGAAGACGAACCAATGAAAAACAATTGGTGATCCTTAACAGCTGCAGTTCAAAAATCTATGAAAATGATAGTCTTTGAATGCGTTGTTATGATTCATCATTCAATTGACGCTATGCTTCAACTACTCATTCGATACGAGAAATTGTAAAGCTTCTGATGAAATTTGTAATGATTTATTAGTTTACGCCAAACAAGTTTTTGAATTTGAAGAAGAGCAAAGATCAGCAAATTTGATCAAATACTAAGTTGACTAACTGAGTGGGAATACTGGTTTACTGATATTTCAATCTATGCAAATGCATGCGCATTGGTATGAGGCAGCATTATTATAAAAATTTCTTTCTCGTTGAGTTTATGGGCACTGATAGCGAACAGCAATAGATGCAGTTATACCTGAACGCTCCTGCCTATTGTTCTACTTTTTTGCTCGCTTTTCAGTACATCACGCAATTGTGATCCAATTCATGATAGGGATTCTTCTGTTAAATTTTTGAGATGACTGAATTATTTTCTGAGCTGCGCGAGATGCCCAAAATTTTCAGCATGATAATGAACGGCAACTGATAACTGAACGGCAACTGAGCGTTTCTACTTCTTTTGTTTTCATTTATTTTCACTCATCGATTGAACATTTTCCTGTCTCGGATCTACAGTAAAGATAAATCAGATAGATTTTTATGCAGCTATTGAACCAAATCTTTAGGTTGGTCGAGTTGCTTAAACATTTCAGTGTTAACAGAGTGCATCTTTCCTTCCACTCTTTTGTTAGCACCAATAAACTTCATCCACTGGGATAAACTGCACACCGATGAAGTAAAAAGAATAATTGGATTAGTTAGTATGAAAATCTAACGATAAGAAAAACGGTTTATCAAAATGTATAAGCAATCCGAAAAAAATTGAATGTAGAGTATTTTACCCTCAAATGCAATTGGTGTTCTTACCACTTTCTTTTGAACATTGAAGGAATGCAACCTTCTATCTGCACCATAACAAGTCAAATGGGTTTGTCAACAAGAAAATAATAGACTTGCGGAAAACAACAAATTCAGCTGTTTCTCATTAACCACGCATTCACCAAGTGTCGCAGTATTCCAGTGATAGAAAATCTTATGAATCTGGCGAAACCACTGTGCTGCTGAGGAAACCTGAGGATAAAGGTAATTTGAAGATGGTATTACTATTCTCCATACCATGCTTCATTCAGCTGCACGGCGTTACTCTAAAAATTCAGCAGTATGTATGTAAGCAAGCAGATCATTGGATAACACACACTTTTTCGACAGTAGAGAACCTCGTCTATCCAATGGTATCAATAATATGTTGCGATGCTGAGCAAATTTGAGGATACAGGTAACTTAAAAATTGGTACGCCTGTTTTCTCATAGCAGTGCATTACTGATTAATATAGCGATCAACTGCGCAAAGTTTAGCATGATATTGAAGTCGTGAAGCTATCTGCAGTATCGTTGAACATCAAGTCATACCTAAGAAATTGAGCATTTTTCTTACAGCATACATAGTATTCTGACAGTAACATCTTATGTTGCTTAGAAACTACTGTACTACTGGACAAATCATAGGTCACAGCTGGATTGAAAATGGTTCTCCTGATGTACGTGTAGCAGAGTAGTATTGACATAGATCAGTAGCGAATATCTATATCATCAGTTATGTGTGCTGCTGAAGAAAAATGCTGTATGATATACAATTACTAATTCAACTTAAGAGCTGGGCCTGATAGTCAAAAAGCATCTTTTGAATGCAATTCTATAAAGAGCTCGTTTGAGCGAGCATACAGCTAGATTTGAATGGACTCATCTGGTTATGCAACCTCTACTGAAGAGCAGCAGCACTGATATAAACAGCCATGCGGATTTGTGTTAGTGCTGCTGCTCTTCAACAGAGGTTGCATAACCACTCAATCATATGCTTTCCATAAAGCTTGCTCTCTGATTGATAGGAATATGAAAACGTCGGGTAGCTGTAGTATCTCGTGAAACTTGAGAACACAACAGATCACAAGCAAAAAAACATGCCCAGGAAAGCGGCAAAGGGCAATGCGCTCTCATGCATTATGCATATTGTCATAACGCTTTCACAACTTCATCTGCAACACATATTTTTAAAACAGTATCATCAGTTCAACTGAACCACCTCAATCAAGTGCTCCAACCAGTGCATGAGATTAAATGAAAATAACTTCAAAAAACAATGAAAATGATGTTGTTATTGGTGGTGCTACATAAACCAGGGAATAGTAATCAAAAAGATAGCACTGCGTCCCTCTCTAGTTTTCATTTTGTTAATGATCAGCCTCATCATCAGTGTCTCACTTTTTATTCACTACTGATCTATATCATCAATTATCAATCTAGTTCTAAGTGCTCAGCTGAATTTTCACGCAATAGGTGTCGCTTATTTGCGCCCGAGCATATGTATAAACACCTATGCTTACAAACCCACAATAATATTTCCCTCATATATCTCAATTAATCATTGCACCTCAAAGTCATCATTTTTGTCGCATTTCACACTTTACTTGCCATACGCAGTCGTTATGACCACGATATTAATCGTCGCAATCCATCTATCTCACACCATGAGCAGTCATTAATTCATACTCACACATAAACCATCATCGATCTTAATATTTCTTTATCACATTGAACATAAAAATGATTCGGCTGATATCGTATTAGGTCACACGATCAATTGCATTTGATTCGATGCTGAAGATAAAGAGTATCTTTAATAGTCATCGATAACTCTATTAAGAAGTTTTTAATGGCAAAGACTGTAATCATAATAACAACAATATTGATGACTGTGGCTACGCAAATTTTCTTGAAATTATAAAAAGTAATTGTTTGAATATTTGAGCGGAAGTGAGCAGAGATGAGAGTGTTGAAGAAAGGGGGAATGACAAGGAAGAAAAGAGGAAGAAAGGAAAGTGCAGAGGGGAATTTTAATTACTGCATGGATGGATAATTTTTTGGGAAGTAGATTTTAATGCATGGATCATCCGTCGTGATAGGTACTGATAGTAGAATAACAAAATATTTCAATCGAAATTCGACGGAACGCACGTTCACAATTCCAAACTTAGATAACTACCAGGAAAACAAAGAATTATCAAAGCTGAGATTCGATCGGTTACCATCATTAGTGATAGGTGGCTAATATATTCAAGAACAATTATGACAGCAGGTGTTATTACAATTATTTTCACTGCAGTTGATTGAAAGAGACTCATTTGGTGATGTTTTGTGTAGATTATTGCATCTTCTTAATCAAGCAGTCATGCACGCACCTCATCTTCATAAAAACATCCAAAGGTCGAGATGATCGTTCGGTTATTCACTTCATAAATCCTTTAGCGGGCGGTCGCGGTTTATCTCGTATCTTGAACCTATAAGAAGCAGCAGTAGCAGTAGATGAAAAGAGATGAAGTGGGATTATGAAGTGAAGAGGAGAGGATGTGGAGGATAGAATGGAAGGAGATTGGCTAAAGTAAAGAGATAAGGAAAAAAAGCACAGATTGTTTTAAGTGGTGATGATAATGAGACAATGGGCTGATTCGTTTCGAAATAAAGTCGATT